TAATTGTGTGGGTATGGTTGAAACCAAATACGGGAAGTAAGGGAGAACAAATAAAAATTAGGGCATAAAATATTAAATATATCCTAATATTGAAGAGCTAACTGCTGATTGCCAAACAAGGACATTGCGAGATAGTTTCTCAATTCAATTTGTTGTGTGATTTGAATACTCTTTTTGTAAATAAATCTCCCAAATAATTAATATGATTTGTTTAATTATACTTTTTATTTTTATTTTTATAATATAATAATAATAATAATAATAATAATAATAATAATTATTATTATTATTATTATTATTATTATTATTATTATTATTATTATTATTATTATTATTATTATTATTATTATTATTATTATTATTATTATTATTATTATTATTATTATTATTATTATTATGAAGTATATGTATACCCTTAGGTCATTTTACATGTTAATCTAAACGGCTAATTTTTTCAAATATTTTTTTACCAACCGTGGATATAATTCGCTGGTCAAATCCGCTAACTGCTGATTATCAAACAAGGACATTGCGATGTAGTTGTCACTTCAATTTGTTGTTTGATTTGAATACTCTCTTTGTCAACAAATCCCTCAAGTAGTTAATATAGCTGACTTTATTAATTATGTTTTTTTTTAATTTTTAATTTTTTCATGGTATTAATAAAATACTTGGTAAATAAATATATAGCATTATTTTGTATTATAATTTTGATATTTAATTAAAAATAGTGCACAAAAACGATAATAGACAATGTAGTGAATATAATTAATTGATTAATTTGAATGTAAAGAATTTTTACATTGGAGAAAAATAAAGACAATATAACTAATGAAATTATTTCTCTTATTTAATTTATTTATTGATAATGAATAATTTTTTTTGAATAAAGACATTGTACACACATAATTCTAAATTAAAGAAATGCATATGTATTATTTTTTGGTGTAGCTATTAAATTATTAATTATTATAATTTAATAAGAGTGAAATAGAGTACTAATTATGCCAACTTTAATTTGATTGGGATGCGGTTCGAACCTGAGTCCTTTCTTATTAAAATCAATGAGTAAGTTAACGGTGAACTAACAGAAACTAACGGAAAAGATAATATTTAACGGAAAAGTTAACGGATAATCATATTCATTAAGGATAAATTAGGAAATCTCAAGGAAAAATTAAAATTTGATCAATCTGAGCCATTCATTTGATTAAAAAATTTGACCGCCATTTTTTCTATCCATTATAGGCCTAACTCTCTTGGGCTCTTATTAGTATATATATATAGTATATATATATATATATATATAACTTTTTTTTATTAATAATGAGATGTATAATTTATAATGTGTTTTTTATTTATTTTATTAAATTAATTATGTTTCATATTTTGTTATGAATATTTTTATAAATTTTTAATGTATTTTATTTTTCGTTTATATCTAACAATATTTATGACAATATTTCTATGTTTCATTGTTTTTCAAACTATAATGTTTTGTCCCCACTGACAATTTTTTCTGGATCCGCCACTATATATATATATATATATATATATATATATATATATATATATATATATATATATATATATGCAGCCATTTCAGCGCCTGCCATGCATTTAATTACATACGAATTTAACACTACTGCAGTACCCATTTGGTTGAACATCTATCAACATATATACAGCTAAGCAGCATAAGCAGACCGGCATGCACTTGCCACTCGGTGGTTGAAGGGCCAAATCCATTTTGAATTCAAAAGTGCAGTGGATCTATCTAGCTATCATATCTGTAGGGCTAAATAAATTAATAAATGGAGTATAAACATCAATCAACCTCCACAGAGCTGAGTATTTCAAATGTGTGTCCCATCTATTAAGATTTTCAAACAAAAGATTTTGATGATCTCAGTCAACTTCCACAAATCAATGCATACATATATAATTCTGTTAGGGCATCTTCAATAGTGGGGTTTGGTACGATATTTTAAGAATTTTTGTATATGTGATTAGGAAAGAGAAAATGAAATAATGAAGTTAATATAAATCAAAAAAAAAAAAAAAACAAAATGTTAGGTAAAAGAAAAAATAAAATAAAATAAAATAAACCTGAAACGCACGTACACTGCACATGTCCGACTGGGCAAGTATATGTAGCCCACTCTCTCCTTTTTGCTTGCTTCTTTTCATTGTGGGACATACACAAGGGAACAAAATCCTCAACCTCCTGCAACCAACTCTCCCTTCTCTCTCCTCTATCCTCTCTCATCTCTCCTCTCTCTCCTCTATCATCTCTCATCTCTCCTCTCTCATCTCTCCTCCACTTCACACATTTTTCTTTCAAAACCTGTGCACAACCCCCTTAATGGGGATGCCTAATGCACAACTTAAGATTAGTCCATGTGTGGGCCATGTTATGCTGGTTTTTTTTTTTTTTTTTTTTTGAGAATTGTGGGCAGCAAATTATACTATCCACAATTCCAGAATCGTGTCTCCCCTTAAAAAAAAAAAAAAAAAAACCAGGTTCGATTCCTAGCAACAACATATGAACTAAAATTCCAGAATCGATGAACTATAATTTCAGAATCTATGAACTAAAATTCCAGAATCTAATCTATGAACTAAAAAATCCAGAATGAATGAACTAAAATTCCAGAATCGATGAACTACAATTCCAGAATCGATGAACTATAATTCCAGAATCAATGAACTAAAATTCCATAATCTATGAACTAAAATTCCAGAATGAATGAACAACATAATGTTGTTGCTGGGAATCGAACCTGAATTTTTTTTAAGGGGAGACGCGCGTTTTTAATAAAACGACGTCGTTTTTGCATCTGTATGCACCATGGTGCATACGGATGCACAGCATAACTACTCATTGTGGGTCATGTTATGCTAACACACATAGAATGTGGATCACGTTGTCAAGATCAGTTATGTCATTTTATAAGTTCGAGACAAAGTGAAAAACACAAAGACCCTTAATATATAAAGTTAATGTGTCATATGTGTGTGTGTGTGTGTGTGTGTGTGTATATATATATATATATATATATATAGTGAAATGTTCCCGTGCGGTGGATTAATGTGCGTGAGATTTGTACTCAATGTGCGTGAGTATTGTGCTTAATGTGCCTGAGATTTGTACGTAATGTGCGTGAATGTGTAAAATGCAACAGAAAATATTGATGTCAGCTTCTTCCCCATCCTCAGTAGCCATTTGCCCCCTCCCTGATGATGATGATGCGGAGGCGAGCTATGGTGGTTAAAAATTATGGGAATAATACAACAGAAATCCACACTTAGCTGTTGTGCAAATTTTACTGTGCGTGCGTCATTTATATAAACATTCAACTGCACTGAAGGTAGCTGATAATCCAGAATCCATGGCCAAATTGAAGGAAGAAGTAACAAGAAGCTTGGGCGTTAATGTGCGTGAGTTTCTGTTCTGCTTCCTTCTGAGCTCGTAATTCTGAAATACGCACGCACATTAAACACAAATCTCACGCACATTAAACACAATACTCAGGCACATTAAGTACAAAACTCACGCATATTAACATGACGCACATTAAGTACAAATCTCAAGCACATTGAGTACAAATTTCACGCACATTAAGTATAAACCTCACGCACATTAATCCACCGCACATCCACACGGGAAGCAACAAATGCACCTGATCCCTTTCATATATATATATATATATATATATATATATATATATATATATATATATATATATATATATATATATATATATATATATATAATCGCACTCAGGTGCGAATGCTTTGCCCAGGAGCGAAATAGGAATGGTTTCTGTCTGTCCACGTGTCCAGATCTAATGGATGAGAAACACTAATTTTTTTAGAAAGCGCAGTGACGCTTTCGTAAATAATTGAACATCAAAGTGCAAGTAAAATGTATTACAAGTGCATGTAAAATGTATTATAGGTGCAAGTAAAAATTTAAACTGAGCATCAATACTAAGTGCACCTATAGTTATAAGTAGTTGCACCTATAGTTCTAAGTAGTTGCACACATAGTTATAAGTAGTTGCACCTAGGTGGATGAATGTTTGCGGGTGATTTTCAGGTGTATTACTACCCGCTGAACTCAGATTAATGAATGTTAACAAGGCAAAATTACATGCACTTATAGGTGAAAGTAGGTGCACCTATAGTTATAAGTAGTTGCACCTATAGTTATAAATAGTTGCACCTATAGTTATAAGCACACCCATGTGCATGAATGTTTGCGGGAAGTGAATGCTAACAAGGCAAAATTACATGCACTTATAGGTGAAAGTAGGTGCACTTGTAAGTGATTTTACTTGCACTTCGATGTTCAATTATTTACGAAAATGCAACCGCGTTTTTTTAAGCTATTAGATCTGGACACGTGTCGCGCGCAGATTCGTTCGCATATTCCTTCCTGGGCACTTATTCGCACCTGAGTGCATCCCTATATATATATATATATATATATATATATATATATATATATATATATATATATATATATCAATTATTATATCAAATGGTTGTAATGATTAACTAAATTTAATATTAAATAATAAATTTGAAATCGAGGTTCAAATCTTTGTTCATGCAAAAAGAAATTTTTGTCTACCCTTAGGGCTGCGCTTGCGTGTTGCATAAACACGATAAGTGCAAGCCCATAATATAAATAAAAAGATATAGTCTAACCACCCTAACACGTGACACACTCAATGTGTGTGTGCACGACCTTTCTTGCGCACCGACTAGCTTTGGTTATTTTTTAAATATTCAGTGAGTCCACAAAAAATCGCATCTTCTACAAGAACTTTCTTTTACTTTCTCTATCCGCTACTTTACAAAAATCTTTAAAAAAAACTTGCAAAAATTCACTATTAGAGATACTCTAACATGTGAACTTAACCCTATTGCCATCTCTAGAATAGAATCATGAATTCATGATATGACAGATACTCCATAGTCCATATAAACAATTTCAGCAAACAAAACATTTCAAATTGCATATAGAATGGTAGTACCTGGGGAAGTGGAAGAGATCATATTCTTTCATATTACAATTAACCTTACATAGAGTTTTTAGTGATCCCCAGGACTCAAAAAGGGAAGGGCCTAAACTGGGACAATGGACATTTGGAACTACACTTTTAAGTTAGCATTGGCAAAAAAACAGAGGTCATAATGCATTCTGCAGTCTAATATCTATGCCAGAGGCCACCACTGAAACCAACTTGATCTCTAATAACAGGCATTCCGAAACTGTCCAATCGACCCGAGCCAGGATACGCTTTACTGGTAAAGTTGGCCTGTAATGACGAGCCCCTTTGTGAGTTTGTTCTCAGCTCGCCATATCCATGGATTGAGTAGCGCTTCGTTGAGCTCGACCTTTCATACTGAGGCCTTTGTTTTGGGGCACTGAGGGACCGCATCTTAGCCTTTGCTGACTCAGTGTAAGACATGTAGTTTGGATGGTCCGAGTAGCCACTCAGGCAACTTCTCGCGTCACTCTTGGATGGGGTAAACGGTCCTACCCTTGAACTACCGCCTTTTGATGAAGCCGAGTAGAATTGAGGGCTATTGTCAGCAGTGCAGAAGCAGCTTTCGTTGATCTGTTGACCAAAGTTCTGAGGGCTCAAGGATTGCGCCTCGCAGTAAGATGGGCTATGAACAATTTGGTGAGCTGTGGAGTCCTTTGATGTAGCTAGGCTGTAACTATATTGGTCAGAGTTTAAGCTGAGATGAGAACTGTGAAAGAGGTTTCTGTGTTTGGGTAGAAAGACGGGCTTCCCTGTGTCGATTTCAAGAATCTTGTCGCTCTTCCCATCATCAATGGGGCCGGATCTCGAAGACCCTTGGTGTTCCCAGGACCAAGCATCCATCCTGTAGTCCATTCGGTTTGAACGCACTTTTTCCTGGTCGCCAATTACTCTCCTCTTTGAAAGATTCCTCTGTATTATCGAGGCTACACGTTTAGCATGGCACAATTATATTAACTAACACCCCATATATAGAAAATGTCAAAGGAAATACCTTGAGCATGATAGTATCATCATTCTGTCCGCTCCTCATATGAATGACTTGCTCAAATTTCTCGGGAGTAGGAGGGCCCTACACACCATCGGTTTACATTTTGTCAGCAAAAACATAAATGAGCTAACTACTCGGTTTTCTACAGCTTAAAGGGAATCAAAGAATAAAGGCCAAACCCAAGACATGGAAACAGCTAATATATGTTTAGCAAAAACATGAATTGCAGCCATCTAGAATCTCAGATCAAAATAGACGGTGGACCCTATTCACATGTTGCTTTAAGTAAAAGGTCTGCATTACTTTTGATGGATGATTAAAGAAATAAACTTTAACCTGGAAGAGTAAACTTTATAAAAAGAATCAGATGCAAAGTTGAATAATCGAAGAGAGACTGAAATTTCACTTACAGGATGCTGAAATTGAACAGATTTGGTGCTCGAATGCGGTGATTCAGAAATCTTGGGCAATCCCGACCTAGCTCTTGATTGGGCTCTTACTAGCGCCTGCAAGCCTCGAAGCATATCGGCAGTATGCTTCCTTACAAGGTAACCTTTAACCAGTGCCTGAAGCCTCACTAGCGCCTTCAATGCTCGTAAAGCTCTCCTCGACTTCAAATTACCCAACATAGTTAAGTTCATCAGTAAACCATTAGTGATTGTTACAATAATTTGTAAAAAATTAAACACTTATGTACTGCCAAAAATCAAAATATCAGATTCTAGTGGTGAGGCTTTGCACAGAAAAGCATAAAAATTTGAAAAGTCATGGCGCCACAAAGACTTTAATTTCAGTACACCATAAAGTCTTCTAAAGTGAAAGGCTGCCATTCCCAAAGACTAAGACATCCCATTGGGCAGTCCTATAAAGAAAAGAAGAGACGAAAAGTATATCTATTGAAATATGACAAAAGACGATAAACTTAGGAACCTTTTTCATCCCGGAACCTCAGGCATCGCCATCTCCTCTTAAAAGATGTAATTGCAGGAAGATACAAAAGTGCTTTTGGCGCCATTATACACACAAAGAAATGACCCTCATCTTAACATAAAGTTGTGGGGACCTTGTGGGTTATGTTCTGTAAGAAGATAACCCTACTTGTGTTCCTTCTCCTTTAGAAATTCAGTGGTCCACAGTAGCATTTGAACTCTAGTGTCCTAAGTAAAGACTGAGCAAACACAAGTACACAACCCAACCAAAACCTAGTGTCCCAAGACCACATAGACCAAAACCTGGTACCTAACTACTGGTTTATGGGGTAACTAAGCAATTATCAAACCAAATTACCAAAATGGCAAAACCATCATCAACAATCACAACCAAGACAAGGATAACCCTCACAAGTTTGAATCCTTGCCCCTTGGTTTGAGCCAGTTAGCTATGAATAATCTAAACTGGTTTATTTCCCTACGTCCTTTGCCAACTAGGATAACAATGCGGGATTTAACTACAACCAAAAGGGTTGTGGGGAACACAAAATAGTTGTATGCATCACCAAATCATAATCCAAAACACAACAACTCTTGTCAAGTAATCCCAAGAAGGCCAACACAACAAACAACATTCTTCAAAGACAGATGGGATTAAAAATTCATCAAGACAATTATTTCCTTTCCCAGTCTTGGTCCTAGTAAACTAAACTAATCTTCCCTTTTCCCTTTCCTACCAGGCTACCTCCATTATTTAACATTTTGTCAGCCTTGCAAGCTAGCCACGAGCCAGCCATAACAACCAAAGATCACTTACTTGAATAGAGGTCTGGATTCAGTATCTGCATAGTAAACCACAGTACCAAGTAGCCATTACTATATACGTGTAAGACTATCATCATACACAGTACCCCTCCCTCGTTGGGAGCCAAGCTGGAATTGTACGACCACCTTAAAAGCTGTGCAAATGAAAAATTAAAAACCAATGCCGTCTATGATGCTCTAAAATGCAACCAATCTGGCAAAGCCCACATTATCTATCAACCATCAACCATACCCATAAATTTCTACTTATTCTCCAAAATAATAAATAAATAAATTTCGACTTAAAGATTTACAGCTCTACGCGTTTTCGCCATTAAAGTTTATAACAAAAATTTTAAAGATTACATCTGACAATGAAATTAATCTGAATTTAACCGATTCAGATTTTTTGTTTGATGTTAGCTGAACTGGTATAGCTGTCATTAATAAGATTTTTACTAGCTTCTTCGCAGGGGTGAAAAGACTTTTCTGCCCTCAGGTGGAAATGGGTTTATACATAGTTCATGAGAGAGAGTAAGCGTGTTGTTAATTATGTGAAGTGTAGGGGTAAAAGTTACCAGATAGGCTCGGAAGTGAGATTGAATCTTAACGGCCGCGAGTTCTTCGCGAATCCCGTAACCTCCGGCGTTCCGGTTAATGCACGCCGTTGAATTCACCGTGGAGCCACACCACGCGGCGGCGGAGGTGGACCTGCCACTACTCGTCAGCTGCACCACCGCCGCGGCGGCCTGAGCCGCGGCAATAGCTGCCTCGGCCACTTTCGCCGTCGCGGCCGCCACCGCCACGGCATGCTTGCTCGGATCAACGGCGTCTCCGGTCCCGTCTTGCCGCTCCGTGGAAGCGCCGCGCTGGGACTTGTCGAGGCTGTCCTTCTCTCTGTTGGATTTGACGAAGCTCCATCGCCTCTTCGGCGGTTTCGTGCTCGGGTTTTGGTTTGGATTAGCGGGACACTCGGGTTTCTTCAGGCCAAGTAGCCCCCGGAACCACTTCCCGGCTTTCACCATTCTATTGCTGATTCACAGGGAGCAGTTGCGCTGCGCCAGCGGTGGTGGTTGAGAGAATTTCCGGCGGCAGGCGGGTGGGTGAAAAGACGAGGAGTGAGAGAGTGAGAAGTGAATACTGAACAGTTGAGAGATGACGAGAGAGAGATATCATACATGTATCTGTGCGTGTATATATATATATATATATATATATATATATATATATGCGTGTATAATAAGCCTGAAGCTGAAGCCGAACTGGGTTTGTGGGGTGGGGTGGGGTGGGGTGGGTGGGTGGAGTACGGGGTGAGGTTATTGTGGGAAAACATCGAAGTCAAAGAACATGTACTTCGGAATTTTGTATTGGCAAAATTATGCCCGTATCCAACTCACTTTTTTATTTCAAGGTTGAAAGTTAGAAACTTGAAAGCATGATTCATACGTGAATTATACATTTACTTCCATTTTTACTCCCTATAATAATGTAACATGCTTTAATTATACTTAAGGGATCATAATTTTTATCTAGGGTATGTTTGGTTTATTGATTTACCCATCAGGAATAAGAATTAAAATCATATTTAAAGTTTGTTTGGCAATCGGCGGTTAGCGGTAGCAATTATATTAGCGGTTAACAAATAACGAATTGTGTTAGTGAATTTGACCAACGATTTGTAAAAATATTGGTAGGGAATATCCCGACCGACATAAGCTTTACCCCGACCGACATATCTTTGTTCTTCTCTCTTCGTTTTGCAGGTGACAGGTCGGGCTTCATGTGAAGAACCCGGTCGGGGTCCGACCGGGAGTTGCCCGAGCAGTAGTGTCGATCACCGAGCGGTAGCCCTTTGGCGAGAGAGCTGACAAAGGACACGTGGCAGCTTTTTACGACGACAGATAGGGCACCCGGGAGGGTGACACGTGGTGGCTACGTGGAGAACATGCCGAACGACCGGATTCTTATCCCCGGCACAGCGGCTATAAATACCCACAGTAGCTACAGTGTAGAGGACTTTTGGACGATCGATAGGTTGTTACTAGAGAATTCCGACCGCAGTCAGTCGGCACTCAGAGCAACCAAGTAGATTGTACTTAGGGCATTTACCGTGATCAATAAAGATTTTTACTTGCTTTAATTGGTCTCGGGTTTATTTTATATTGCTTACGTAGAATTAGCAGTATCATTTTGCGCCGTCTATGGGGACCCGTGCGAGAAAGCAACGTCTTGACGAGCACCCGGTCTCTTTGCAATCATGTATCCGTGGGCTTACAACAACTTCGCCGACGACCAGGCGGATGCAGCGAGTTCATCTGAGCACCATGCCACCCAACAGCAAGGTCAGACGGTGGATCTGAATCTTAATCTCTCACCACCGCATCCGTCTAACACATACCCGGTTGCCCAACAGCCGGTGAACTACATTCAACCGGGATACCCAACACCCGGTCAGCCGTATCAGCAACAGCCGGTGATGTATCCCGGCCAATATCCATACCAGGTCCCACCTTCGCCGTACGGGTATTGGCCTGGCCAACCGATGTACTACACTCCCCCGGTTGGGTATCCACCATATACGCCTGCTTACACGGCTCCAGCCGCCGCCCCTCCAGTTTACCCGACCGCACAGGTAGAGCCGCAGCGTCAGTCCGTTTCCCGGGCTTGACGCTCGGCTCGTTCGCGGTTGGGGTCGGGGGGTGCTGATGCGATGGAGGCACCAGGGCAGGCCCAGCAAGCGGCCGAGGTTCCCGTCCAAGCAGAGGACCCCGAAGAAGTTGCCCGAGCGGCAGCTTTTGATCGTCTTCGACCGGAGATGCGTCAGCGTTTGGGACCCCAAGACCCGAACCGCCAGCAAGAAGACGTACAGATGCAGGAGGCCAGCCAGGAGGCTTCATCCGGGTATAGCGGGTCGAGATCTCACCGACGGCGACGCGCTCGGGATACAACCCAAGCTGCCCAAGCCGCCGAGCTCAATGAAACCCGAGGATTGCTCTACAACCTCCAGGCGGAGTTTGCGCAATTCAGAAACGCACACCCTGCAACACCCCCGGTCGACCAACCGACCCTACACCAGACGCCTTTCACAACGGCGGTGATGGCTCAGCCTTACCCGCTTGATTTAAAGGTCTCTGGAGAGAAAAGTTATGATGGCCGGACAGACCCCGAGGCTCACGTTAACGACTTCTACAGCAATATGACGTTGAAGGGCGTGTCAGACGCCGTAATGTGCAGGGCTTTTTATTCCACGCTTACCGGTCGGGCGGCGGAATGGTTCCGAACTTTGCAGCCGGGTTCGATCGACAAGTTTGACACCTTGGCGATCAAGTTCGTGAGGAAGTTCATTACTTCCAAAGTGGTGAGGAAGCCCTATATGTATCTGGAGAAGGCCAAGCAACTTGAAGGCGAGAGCTTGACCGACTTCCTCATCAAATGGAAGGCGGCGGTCGGGGAGGTCGAGCCCATGGATGATGCGATCGCCACCCACATGCTACACATCTCTCTCCGGGCGGGGTATTTATATCAAGATTTCATTTTACATCCCCCGGCCACTTATGAGGAGGCCCTTCGAAGGGTCACAGATTATGCTAATGCTGGCGAGGAGAACGCCGTAAAGCGCTCGCAGGAGGTCGGGTCTTCGTCCCGCAAACCGGCCGGCCCGGCGGAACACCGATCGGGTGATGACCATCCCCGATCCCGCACCAGGCCTGGCGAATTTATGCCCTTGAACCGATCCGCAGCGGAGGCCATGCAGTATGCCCAGTCCTGCAATCTCATCAAACTCCCCCACCCCGATCGAGACGGCCCCGACAAGAGTAAGCATTGCGCTTACCACCGATGCGCTGGGCATGACACTGAAGAGTGTACCCACTTGCGCCAACTATTAGAGGACTTTCTCAATCTTGGGAAGTTGGACAAGTGTGTGGGGAGGAGAGAAGACCCCAAGAGGAACACCGATCGGAGAGATCAGCGGCGCTCCCATCACCGCTCCGATCGGTCAGGTCAGGACCGAAGAGATGATCGTCGCGATGACCGACGGGACCCTGACCCTCCATCTAGCAGCCGACCAGCAGGAAAGCCGACCATCCACGTTATTTTCGGTGGATTGGAAGACGCTTCCCGGCCGCGGAGTAATTGCCCGGTCGCCATAGTGGATTCCGGGAGACCAGGAAGAGGCAAAAGATGGAGCCCATAACCTTCACCCTGGAAGATCAACCCAGCAGCGGCGACCACGGCATGGAGGCGCTCGTGGTCACGATTGATGTGAAAGGGACGGATGTCCAGAGGGTTATGGTCGACACTGGCAGCAGTGTGAATGTCCTTTATTTGGACGTGTTTGAGAAGCTTGGACTAGATAGGAAGGAGCTGACTCCGGTCGGTGTACCACTGTTTGGCTTTACCGGGGCTCTTATTTACCCCGAGGGAAAAATAACGCTCCCAGTTGAGATCGACACATCTCCGAAGTCGATCAAGACGGAGCTAGAATTTGTTGTGGTCAATCTCCATTGCGTCCACAACATTATCTTGGGCCGACCCGCCATTATGAAGATCGGTGGGATAATTTCAATGCCCCACCTGTGCATGAAATTCCCCACCCCCAATGGGGTCGGTGTAGTCCGCGGCGACGTCCAATCCGCCCGGAAGTGTTACACCCGAGCGGTCAACAGACGCGACTCCGGTTCGTCTTCTCGGGTAAACACCATAGCCAAAGAAGAGGCTAAAGATCGGAAGGAACAGCCTGAGCCTTCCGAGGAGATAGAAGAAGTTCCCCTATCCGAGGACCGACCGGATAAGAAGATTAAGATTGGTCGGGCCCTCACCCCCGAGCTCCGAGCGGAAATTTTGGCCATACTCCGGGAGTACGCCGATATCTTTGCTTGGGGGCCCGAAGACATGCCCGGGATCGACCGATCGGTTATTTGTCATAAGCTAGCCGTCGATCCCACAGCAAAGCCGGTCGTGCAAAAAACCCGGCACCTTTCTTCCGATCGCCGCGAGTTTGTTAGAGAAGAAGTCAAGAAGATGGCGGCGATCGAGCACATCCGACTAGTGATCTATCCCGAGTGGGTGGCTAATATTGTCCTTGTTCCTAAGCCCCCAGCTTGGAGGATGTGCATTGATTTTACCGACCTCAACAAGGCCTGTCCGCTCGACCCGTATCCTCTACCGAGTATCCACCAGATGGTCAACGAGACGGCCGGGGCCGAGTTAATGAGTTTCATGGATGCATTTAAGGGTTATCATAAAATCATGATGCACCATGAAGATGAGAGCAAGACAGCCTTCGTGACCCCGGACGGGCTGTATTGCTACCGGGTAATGCCGTTCGGTCTCCGAAACGCGGGAGCAACCTATCAGAGAATGGTCAATATGCTTTTTGCCGATCTGTTGGGCCGAACGATGGAAGCTTACATTGATGATATGCTGGTCAAGAGTCGGGACCGATCCGACCACACTCGGGATCTCCGGGAATGCTTCTAGATCATGAGGAAGTACCAGTTGCGGCTGAACCCGACCAAGTGTACGTTTGCGGTTCAGACCGGCAAGTTCCTCGGTTATATGATGACTAAGAGAGGAATTGAGCCCAACCCGGCCAAAGTGAAAGCGATTCTGGACATGCAACCACCTTCTACCGTTCGGGAAGTCCAACAATTGATCGGTCGGTTGGCAGCCCTTAGCCGATTCCTCTCCAAGTTAGCCGAGCGCGCTTTACCTTTCTTCAAGGTATTGCGGAAGGTTAATGGATTCGTCTGGGACGAAGAATGCCGAGCGGCTTTTGATGAGCTGAAGGAGTATCTCATGTCACCAATCGTGCTCTCAAAGCCCGAGCTCGGAGAAGAGTTAGACGTATACCTCGCCGTCTCCGATCGTGCAGTAAGCGCAGTATTGTGCCGAACCGATCCGGAAGGGGTCCAGCGACCGGTGTACTATGTAAGCCACGCGCTACATGGTCCTGAGCTCCGGTACTCCCTGTTAGAGAAGGTCGTCTACGCCTTATACATCGCCGCGAAGAAGTTGGCTCCCTACTTCCAGGGTCGAGCAATTCGCGTGTTAACCGATCAGCTGATCGGGCCAGTCCTCCGAACTGCTTCATCGTCTGGTCGCCTAGTCAAGTGGGCGTTGATGTTGACCCAGTACGCGATCGAATACCGACCGAGACCAGCTATCAAGGGTCAAGCCTTGGCTG